AGAGAGAGGTAGGGGGAGGGGCAGAGAGAGAGACACACACAACATCTGACGTAGGCTCCAGGCCCTGAGCTGTCAGCACAGAGCCGGACGCAGGGCTTGAACCCATGAACCATGAGATCATGACCTGAGCTGAAGTTGGATGCTTACCCTCCTGAGCCCCCAGTCTTCTCTACTTTAAAATGACTCGTTTCCCCTTTCTGATGAATAAGTGTTTTGTGCGGAGATCCTTTGAGACCGTGTCACCGTGTGCTGGCTAACTTTATGTGGCCAACTCACAGCCGATCTCATTGGGAGTATAAACCTAGTGTCCGCGGGACTTCCTTTCTTAGGAAGGTCTTCTTTTCTTTGCCGTTGGGTGTGTGTATGGTGGACGGTTTGGGTGCTAGAGTGGAGGCACGTGTGTGATTCGGGTGATGGGGCCATGTCAATGGCTTGGGAAACATTGGCAATGCGTCATTTCTGATTGCCGTTATCTTCAGAGAGAGAAACTGAACCAGTGAGTTGCAGGAAATACACACAGTAAACACATCCTGGCTTTTGCTTCCTGTAGTAAATTGCACGGTTCCCCCCCCCCTTCCCTCTGCTTTTGTTTTTATTTAGAGGGCTCTAAAGAAGGAAATGCAAAAATGGTGACATTTTAAGAAGGATCTTCCTGGTGCTAAGAAAACGCTGTGGTCAGTTGGGGTGCATGAGCCCAGGGAACAAGAATAGCCTGGTTTCCATGTGTTAACATTATGTTATGATTAGCTTTTTAAATGACAGCGATTCACAGACTTCTAAGACAGCATCCCTAGTACGGTAATGACAGTCTTGCAGAGAGTGTTGGTACATTATTACAGCAGTTGGATCGCTGACTCTTACGACACTCTTATCCGTGTCTTTCTTTTTGACTGGCCAGCTTTTTTCTCCAAAAGACCTCAGCTAAATTTCAGGAACGACAGTTTTGAGTTAACATTCTCCGAAGCCTCTTATTAATCTGTTTAGAAATCTTTGCCAGCCCTCTGGCATTTGGTCAGGGAGGCTGTCGTCTGTAGAGAGCTTCAGAATGGAAGTTCTTTATAGCTTTTGTGTTGCCCATGCAGACACGGGCAGGGGCGGAGGCGGGATTTTTTTTTTTTTTTCATTCTCCTCCTTCTTACCCAGAACAGAAAAACCAGAATCCTAAATTTCCTATTACGGTAGGAGTTTAAACATAAAAAATAAAATAAAATAATTTTTCAAAAAAGAACAAAAAACTAACACCAAGCTGCCATTAAGCCAGGTCTCCGTGTCTTATCCATGTGTAATAGGCAAGCACAGGTTATTTTGCCCATTAGATTTTATCTTGAAAGTTCTGGCCTTTCAACCTCTTATCTTTTACTGAGTTCAAGTCTGTTTACAGGTCAGTTTTTATCCAGATCTAGGATAGAATCACCTTCTTTAAAAAAAAAAATTTTTTTAATATTTATTTTTTTTTGAGAGGGCGGGTTGGGGGAGGGGCAGAGAGAGAGGGAGACACAGAATCCGAAGCATCCAGGCCCTGAGCTGTCAGCACAGAGCCCGACGCAGGGCTCGAACTCACAAACCCTGAGATCATGACCTGAGCCGAAGTCAGATACTTAACTGACTGAGCCACCCAGGGATCCCTAATGTCACCTTCTGCTATGGGGTAAGGGATAGGCACCTCTCCTGTCTAGTTTCTTCCTAAAGTTCAAGTTTGTCAAACTGCCCGATCACGTGGATGTGTACGACTGTGTATCTCATTATAAAAAAAAACCTATTCGTATAATATTATTTACTGCAGAATCGTAGGACCTTTAGATTTAGA